GGTGCTTTGCTGCTATAATATATACACTATTTAAATAACTCATGTACTTCCTTGACTAAGGGACTTTTTCTGAACTAGAGGCTTGATGTCAATTTTTAAACTCCCATTTGCATATACAGATTGCTTGTGGATCTCTTTCCCTCTGCTGCAATAGCTTTGTAGAGACATGACCCCAAGAGCTGTGGGATCACAGCTTGTGTTTATTTGTACTGCCTCTGTTTTTCACAGATGGGGTGGTTATGTTCCAGGAATGTTGCAGAGAGAAAATATGACCATAAATTGATTCTAGAATTAGAATCTTTGCTTTTTTTTGTCGGTAAGGTTAGTAATATTCAATGTGGACTACGGACTAGTGACTAATGGGAAGAAAAAGGGAGAGGGATTGAAAATGGAACACCTTGGTATGAAGTGGGCAAGTCTGCTGGTAGCTGTTATCTGACTTTTTCTAAGCAATGATGCTCTTTAGTTCTTCAAATTACTACAGAATGGTGAAAAACATTTTGTTCTGAAAATACTCCAACAAAACCATGTATCTGCTTAACTGATTATCAGACTATTTCCATTTAATTCCTTTTTCTACGGTTAGATTTTATTAGCTACAGCGCTTCCTCAGAAGATGTACTGCTTTGATTTAGCCCTCCAACCACGACTGCTCTTGAAATTGTGCAAGGAGAAATAAGAACTTCCTTATGACTTGCAGAGGCAGCATCTGGGCAATGTCATCAATAGTTTGGACAGAAGCACTTTGCAGTCTCAAGCCTGTTCAGCTCTCAACTTTCACAAAACCAGTTCTTCAGGATACACAATTTGAATGTGATCAGGGGAAGATCCAGCACCTAGGAAGAGGTTTCATCTGGACCAAGTTCTTTGAACAGGTCGTATTTGATTTTACAGTTCCATAAAACCAGGAATATCTGTACTGAGAGACATCAGTGCAAAACAGAGATGAGAAGAATCAGACCCACAAGGTTGATGCTTTACAGTGAGAAGATTAATCCGTTTAGACCCTGGCATTGTGTGCTTGCTCTGGGTCCAGCAAGCCTCTTTATAACCTTTTCACAAACACAACATTTCTGATCAACTTGTCAAAGTCCTGCAAGAATGTTATTAGCTCTGGAGCTTTGCTGTGGGGGTCAGGAAGGTCTGCTCCCTTCTGCTCTTGCTGTTGTGCTGGGAATGCAGTTTCCATCCAGCACTCCCAAGGAGTATAATCTTCTGATGGTTTTATACTTGTTTGGAGTGGAAAAGCTTGTATAAAACCTGACACACACAGATTACTAATTCCTGCTTTTATCTTATACATATAGAATTGCTTATGTCTTCTGCATCTTCTCTCCATGCTGTGGTTTGGTTTTAACCTTGTTTCTTCACACATGGCCACCTTCCATTGGACTGCAGCCAGTCTACCTGACAAGTAGTGTTGCAGAACTAATGAAGTTAGTGTTTCAGCTGCACTTGGTCCTCAGAATATAATAGTATTAATTTATGTTTGATACAAGGTGAGTTGCTGTGAGTGGGTAGTGAAAAGAAATGTGATTAAATGGTGCAGAGCTCAGAATCAAATTCTCCACACTAGAAACTTCATTTGGTTTGGAATATCTAGGACAAAAGTGGATCCATAATGGACAATTTGTTGTATTAATTCAGTGCTACTTTCACTTCCCCATATCACGACCTCTTGATTCATCTCACTGAAGGCCATGGATCCCTCCACCTGGGACCAAATGTTTTATATAAAACATAATGGCAATTATTGGGCTAAACTTTTGTCTATTTTTACAAGCTGACAGATGCACAAAGCATCAAACTGAGATACGGCTTTGGAAAACCACTGCAGATGTCATGTCACTGGAGGTGGCTACCCTGCAGTTAAATAAGCTTTTCTCCTTTTATTTATAGCACAGGGTGTAGTTCTAGTATCAACCATCAGATCCAGCATGATAACAATGGAGTGATGAAATCATCAGTCCTTGATCAGATGAGGTGTAATGGTCCTGAAAACCCATATGATCAGGAATGCTGATTGTGGGTGTCTCGGTTGATGTGCGTCTCTGATAGCGAATCACTCAACTCCTTGTCAAGTGTTTGAGCAGGACGTGTTCCACCAGCCAGATCCTGCTGTGCTGCTTTGCTGTGTGAGGGATCTCAGTGATGTGAGGGTGATGGATGATAGCACTGTGGTACCTGCACTCAGAATCAGCAGCACTTCTCCACAGAGTGGTTCCATTGAAATAAATGGAACTATCTGTGGGAGAAGAGATGAGTGGCTCTAAGTGGAGTCAGTTGGAATTGTGTCTTTTTTGCCCCAGAAAAGGGAATCAATTTTGATGAAACATTTATTTTCTATAGGGTGAAATGTATATGAAAGCTGAAACTCTGCCAAGGTAAATCGTGTTTTGACCTAATGTGTTTCAAAGTGGGTTTGAGATGCACAGAACCTGTATTCCTGCAGCCACTGAGTGTTTCCTGGCTGGAGCTAAGTGGGGTTTCCTTTATTTTCCTTTGTTTTGTGAAGTTTGAAGGAATTTGGTTTACACTGACATTCTAAACAAAGCAGCAGGGTGCACAGATACATGTGCAGTGTGATTAGTAAGTGAGTGGAAATCACAAATTTCCTGGGTCTTGCTCTTATTGTTCCTTGTTATTAGCTTCCATCTCTCCAGCTCATATTTTCACATTGTTTCCCACTTCCTGTTGGCTTTTGGGAATCATTTTAGCATTTTTCTTGAGCTGTTTAATCTTAAACTGATTTATGGCAGGTATAAACGAGGAGCCTAATTCAATGTGCTTAAAGCACCATCGCTGATAACAAAATTAGGGTTCTTGCTAAATTGAAAGCAATATTGAGAAGTAAAGTAACAACAATGAACTCTTTACTAGTAAATCTGTTTCCCACTCCAATCCCTCAACGGGTAGCAGCAGTAAAGTGCGCAGGGCAAGTGCTGGACTTGGGCAGTCTTCTGAAGGTGAAGGACTTGCTCTCTGGAGATGCAGAAGCAAAGGTGGGTGCTTGTATTGGAAGTACCCACGGGTAAGATGAAAAATCTCTTTTACTACAAAAACCCATGTGGGCACCTACAGTGCCTTCATGACATGGTACACGTGGCACGCATCACACACGTGTGGGTCACACTATGTAGTACATGTTACATGCTACAGTCATTGATTCAAGACAAATCCATGTACTAAAACCTCCTGAAGATCCTGTTAATGGGAATTTCACAAGTGCTTTTGGAATGTGATGCTAAACCCTGCTAAAAGTCAGCAAGTTGGAGATTTGCATGCCTCTCAGCCTTTGGAATTGACCTATTGATCCTAATACAATCACTGCATCCAAAAAAGCTATTGCTTATTCAATCCTGAGGTCTAATGGGCACCAAATGTGTGTGAGTACAAAAAAAATCTGCAGTGCTTTGCTACTCTTCATATTCCTGTATGTTTCTAACAGTGTTGGGTGAAATCCCCCAACTCCCTTTCACACTAGAACCAGTAATGCTGAATCAGGTAAGTATTTTTCCCAAGAATGATTCATCTGTCCAGAGCAAGAGACTATAAAGGCAATATAAATCCTAACTTCCTGAAAGAAAAGAATGAAGTCTCTACCTTTCAAATAACTTTATATCCTTCACTGGTAATAAATATCCTCCTTTTTCTATGAAGTCCTTGGTGCCTGTAGCCTTGAATTATTTGTCTCCTATATGGAGTATCTCAGCATATGCAGATTAAACCCAAGTATAAGTGTTTTCTTTCCCTCTTTCTGGTGTGCTTGGTTGTCTTTCATTTAGACCAGCCTTACAACAGTCAAGTATTGTAGTTTTTGTAGTATCCTTGTCAGTTCAAGCACTGAATCTCTCCCTGTGTTTCAAGAATACTGTCTGAGGTCAAACTTTCAGCTGGTATAAATCAACGTCCAATTCCAAGGACGCACACAAAGAATTATGTATAACTTATGGCCTCTTTTAAAACCTTATGGAAGGCTCCAATAGCACATAAAGAACTGTAATATGTGGAGGGCTTTGTATATTTAAATCTAGCTGCCTGCAATTTTGATTCCAAGCTCTGCCAGCAGGAAGTGGCTTTTCCATTTGCATGGAAACTCAGGCAGGAAACTGTCTTTTAAAAATTAACCATTCATGTTCATGTCTATGTTGCACAATAAACCCCAATAACCCGTTTTCTGTGTTAAATAACCCTTTATTGTGGAGATTAAATATGGCTTTCCCAGTATTTTGCAAGCCAATGGAAAATACTTGGCTGCCTTTGGGGTGACATTGCAGTGTTTGAAACAGTGATGCTCCCACACAGCAGCTGAATCCTGGAGGTGAAGAATAAGTCAGAAATTGCATATGGGGATTTTCTCTTGAAAGAGATGAACTAAAATTGATCCAGGACAACCAGATGAATAACCTGATGCAAACAAGTAGTGCTATGGGATCTTTAATGACCTCACATGATCAAGATCATACCCCACATTTGTTGCCTGAAGCTTTATGGTCCATCAAACCATAAAATCATGCTTGGCAATTGATCCAGTGCTGACTCAAAGGTAGGATTGCCACAGACAGGTTCACTCGTACTGCTTCCTACAGCCTCAGGCTTTCTTGGGAGCGGTGCTGATCTAATACAATTTCTCTTGGACTGCAAGATGTGAGGGCAAAAAAAAAAAGGCAAATGGTGTTTTTTTGTCTCCAGTCCAGAAGGTACCACACAGGATTTACTGCCCCTGGAAGCCTGTCAGCCTCTGTCAGTGCTCCTGGTGCCTCTGACTCAGTAACCAAATCCCAGTAATTCAGCCTGACCCCTGCTTACATGCTGTATTGCAATACACTATTTCTTCATCCTGAAACCAAGGGGAATAGAATTCCCCATCCATAAAACCTGGTAACATTTTAAAATCAGATTGAAAGTTTCACTTGTTTAATTCCTAGAAAGCCAAAAATCTTCTTAATTTAAACCCCAAACAAACCCACAACCCAAAATAACCCCCACTCTTTCCCCAACTTTATTACTTAACTCAGGACTCTGGTGCAATGCATGTCGCCACACGCAATCCACAGGCAATTTTCACATCTTCCAACCTCCCCAATGTTGTCTCAGATGAAGACAGAACAACAAAAGGAAGACAGGATCTTATCACCCATCTACCAGGTTCTGTTACTACCCACATGCACTGCTTAGTGTCTTCATCATCTTAAGTCTCAAGTAAAAGCCATTATCTGTTTACTGATAATGTGTTCTCTTGACTTTGTGGACAATAATGAAGTGGTACATTCAGCAGAGTAATATTTGGGATACACATCAAAAGGCCCCAAAGGAAACGTATCAAATATGTGAGTATTTACACATAACTTGATATACTTGCTGCATAAAATGTTTATAGGCTCTGAATAGACCTTTAATAGTTGTTGATGTGGCTTCTGCAGAGTTGAGAACACTCAGTGTCAGGGTGTTTGATCTTGTTGGAACACATAGGACTGGGCCAGAGAGAATATTCTTGGACATCTTTGGTCATGGTTTTCAGTCAGGGTGGCTTTGCTGAGAGTAAAGACTTTGTTGTTTGATCCTGCCTCTGTGTTCTTCTTCCTAGGAGAGGTTTGCAATGGGAATGTCATGAAATAAAACCTTGGACATTCTGGGTCTAAGTCCAGACTTTGCTGCTGGTCTGTTATGCAGCTTGTTCTGCCTCTCCATGCCTCTGCTCTTGTCTTTAAAATAGGTGCTTTAAAAGCTGTGAAACACCTTGAGCTCTACAGAACTGTGAATTCTTATTTCATTTCTGCTGCCCCCCTTGTTTGGAAGGGTTTTAACTCTCAATCTCGGCACAAAGCCAGAATCTCCTGTCATTTTCAGCTGGTGCTGGTGAGCACTGGATTAGTTGTGTTTGCACTCTCCAGCACTGAGCAGGCCTGCACCAATGCTTGTCAAACTACAGTGAGAATTGTTTTCCAGCTTATCAGCATATTAGGAACATTACATGGAAGTTCTGAAGGCTTTTCTGTAAACTTGAAATCTAATTATCACTTACCTGCGTGTTCGAGGGGGAAGGTGAACTCCATTGGGGATTCACAGCCGCTTGGAGCAGGCAGCAGGAGGGAGAACACACTGCTGAAAGTTGTGCTGCAGAAAGCACATGATAAAAGGGATTTTGCTGAACCTCCAAAATGTTATTTGGTACCTTTTGCTGCTTGTGATTTGATGAACCTATCATTTTCACTCTCATTATAGAAGAGCTTGCCAAATGCTTGAAGCCAGAGCCTTGAATGAGATCTCCGTGCGGCTCGCTTACATAATATTAAATATTCGTGCCCAGTAAGAAAGCCTATTAAATATTTAAACCCTGTTCTTTCCTCAAAAGCAGAACAGCAAAGATGATTTTCCATGGAATTTAACATTAAACTCTGGTAATTTGTACAGCTGTGCATATAAATAGTTTGCACATCATCTCCGGAGGCAAAGGTCACAGTGCCTCATCCATTTCAATGCTGTAAGTTACATAGCAACAACCTTCCCATTTTTGTCCCCATCTTATTTATTGAAAGTGACTTAAAAACTGGGCTGAAGTACCATGGTGTTTGGAGAGATGAATGAATGGGAGTTGATTGTAATATTTTTCCTTAATCACTTAATTTTTGTCTCTTCATAGAATAAGCTCGATAATAACAGTCCATCAGCAGTGGGGACTGGGTGACATCAAGCTTTTACAGGGGAAGAAAATCAGAACAGACAACTGCCTGATTTCACTTAATGCAATTTGTTCCATGAGTGAACTTCAGACCCCTGCTTCATTACCTTATACAAACTTCAACCTGTTTTCCAAGAAGGAAAAGATTCTTCTTTGCAATTAGAATTACCCAATTACACACCGCTCATGGAAACATCATGCATATTTAGCTCCAACACATGAAAGCTGACTTTTTAAATGCCAGCGATGTATTTCTGCAAATAATAAACACTTGGGAGTTAATATCATGAAAGGAGCTTGTACAAACAAAATACAAGTGTCTCAGGATTAGTTCTTTCTCCCTGTGCTTAAACAACTCTATAATGTTATTAATTTCAGTGAGAATTCCCTAGGGCAGGGTTCTGTTTGTTGAAAAATAAAGACAAGGTTGGCTAAGTTCAGGAGGATTGAGGAGGTCAGATTCTTTGCTGCTGAGCTGGGATTGAGTGAAGGAAGATCAGTTCCTCTTTGTCACTGCTGCACACTGCATCCTTTGTGTGGTCTTGGAGGTATTACGGAATTACTCCTGTGCTTTCTCCATTTGCATCTACAGTCTTCTTTGGCTGTATTTCAAATAGAAATTACACATTGAACAGTACTTTTCTCCATACTGTTAAACCTCTCCCGCATTCATTTTACATAAAGCTGATATTTGCCTATTTCCATCTTGTGCATTTTATGTACTTATTTATCATCTGGGTGGAAGTGCACTAATCGACTCTCTGGTAATTCAGATGCCTCCTGCTGTGGATGCAGCAGAGGGAATTGCCTGTTTTTGCTGGCTCTCCAACTTGTTAATTGAGAAGCTATTCAATTATAGGTAATATACTTTTATTGCTAATAAGATATTCTGGTATCAACAACAGCCCCAAATCTGACTTGAAATTTGCAGGAATTAGAAGAAACTTGAAACTGCTGCCAAAAAGGCTTCAAAAACGAACCTTACATAAAAATACTTGAATCAAGGCCAGCTTCAGAGGAGTGAAAAGTAAATCAGTAAAATTCTTATCAGAGCTACCTTGCTATTTATTTACTCTGACTCGTGATTGTTTCAACAGAGAAATTTGTGCGAAGGAGAATTTGCTGCAGACGTATCAGGTTGAAAAAGTTGTTCTGAATGCAGATTATCAAACAGGGTATCTAAACCATAGTTAATACTGCTCTTTAGTATCTAATTTGCCAAGATTAAATTCTTTTTTATGCATCAGTTCACAAGCTCATCTTGGGCTCTGGCATTAGCTTAAGTTATGGAAGAACACTGCTGGTAAATAAATATCAGTTCTGCTGTTATTAATTTGCACCCCAGCAGTACCTGGGAGTCGCACTGGAGCCACGGCACCGTGCACAGAGGTGATGTGCAGCTCTCCCTGAATAACACTGCTGTGGTGAGCCAAAGAGCTCTGCAGCCATCTCAAGGGTGTAGGACAACTTGGAAGCTGATGTCAAAAAGGGCTGAAGTAAACGTGTGTGATTACTGGGAGCCAAAGCTTCAAGCAGTACAGATCAGTGTACGTCCACTGAATTGGGGCTGATCATGCTGATAGCGACCAGCAGGGGGACAAGGACTGTTGTTTCCATTGCAGCGGGTAGAACATGAAACTAAAAAGAGGGGGGAAAAAGAGAAGCCCCAACCCACCTATCCCGTTCACTTGTGGTTTACTTCATAAACTGCTCTGTAATTTGCATGGCTAGAAATATTTGCATGGTGTTTTGCAGGCGTGTATTCAAGTTTGTGTCCTGTCTCTGCATTTGCTTTAGAAATATGTGCACCTCTGTCTGCATGAAAAGTAATTCCTGGCTCATACAGGAGATGAATCCATAGGCTGCCATTTTCTTCTCTCAGTACAGGCTTTGGCACAGAGACTGCAGCTAAATTTTAATGCCCATATGTATTCCCTGAAACATCCTTGGGTATTTTACTATGCTGACCTTTCATCATTTCCTATGTTGATTGGGATGACCATTCCACCCCGCTGTGTCTCTCACTGGAGCTGTAAAACAGTGAAATGAGTCAAAAGACTCCAGCAAGTCACAATACAGAATACTGAAAAGGTCAGTGGGGCTCTGTCTCCCCTGCTAGAGCTCGTGCAGTGTGAGACACCTGAAGTATTCAAATAGCACCTGTACTGTTGTGTGCCGTGGTTTAGCCTAAACAGGTCAAGGTGAGTAATGGTAAACTCATCCTTAACATGTTCTTTGTGGGGTCTGGAGTCTTCCAAGAGGCTAAAAGCTGGTATGATCTCTCATGTTAATGTCCAATGTCATGTCAGTGGTGGAAACAACAGAATTGGACTCTATTCTTCAGACCCTTACATGGATAGCTCTCAGTTTACAGACAGTAAACCCCAGCCCTAGTGTCAGATTTAAAGGGCAACTGTGGTCTGTTTCCCTTCCTGGGATCTTGTGAGTTCTTAACTTTCAGCAAACCTTTGCAGTTCACAGTTAAATTGAATTTTCTCTCGAGTACATCTGGTGAAAGAACCTCAGCAACTTCCCATGGGAGAGTATTCCATGAACTTAATGAACTCATCTTCTAGAAATCTCTGCTAAATCCAGTGACAGTTCCTCAAAAGGGCAAGCATGTTAACGTATCATTTCAGGAACTTAGAAATGTATTTTGCTTCACCTAAATCTGACCTATGGATCTCTCTGAAAAAAAATGAAGCAATAGTCAGTGTTCAGCAGCAGACTCGGACTCTGAACTGGCCTCATTGGGAATGATTCACATGGTGAAAGGAAAGAAATGAGAATGCACAGAGTCTATGTGCATGCTTCCTCCCTCCCTCCTAAAATAGGCTTCTATTTTTCTTCCGGTGGCTCCAGAAGGGCAGGATTCACAACTGAGTAGTAAATCAATACAATCAGACTTGGTTATTTCTATTTCCACCCAAGCAAGTTCGTGCCCTGTTGGTTGATTTCAAATGCCAGTATATTATCTATTTGTGTCTCTTCACTTTTTCCCCCCGAGGCAAAAGATGTTCACAGCAACAACAAAAGGGAAGAGAAATACGAAAAGATTAGTTTGATCAAAGGAATATCATGTCACACCAGAAGATTGATTTTCCTTTCCTCCTGGACTGCCATGCCCCTTCCCTCTGTGCTGGCTGCAAGGCTGTAGCAGAGATCTCTTCCTCATGTCTCACCATGCCTCGCATGTGGATCTTTTGATTATGACTTAGCTCCTTCTAATATCACACAAACAAGGCTCTGTCATGTCCCAGCTGCTGACCTATACCTTGTGTGATACGCAGGAAGGGCACTTTTTCAGTTGTCACACTTGCCTGGCGAGTAGGAGTCTTGGGACAGGACACTCAGTTACCTCTCTGCTGTCCTGTATTGTTAAGAAAGAGCATCAGAAAAGACTAGAAAGGAAAATCTTAATCTTTAAAGACAAACCAGTGCAAGGCTGGATGTGTCTTGCTTACACTACCACTGATTCTTAATGTATGATTAGCTCCTGCTGTGCCCCAGAGTGCAGGCTGGAGGTTTGATGGACAGGGAGGAACATAAAGCAATAATATATTAACACTTGGTGTCAAACCACCTTTTATTTAATGGGGATAAGGAAACAATCCAATTTTAATAATGCCAGATCACTCTGCCTAAATGAAATGGGAACAGGAGATGGGAGGCTGGTGAACAGCACTGCCTGCCAGCAGGAAAACAGGTTTTAATCCTATAAATCACAAAAGGAAATTGCTAAGGCTATATCTCATACAATTAAGTCAATTTAAGCCTGACTATTAGGGGTAAAAAAGATTACTCATGAACTGGCATTTCGGTATGGAGTTTTGTGATAGTGCTGGATTCGTGCAGGCAACTTCAGTCTTCAGAGCTTTTGTATCCAGGGCTGCTGGAAGCAACTCTAGTTCCATGAAAGCACAATGCTGACTTTACACAAGGGATATTTTCCTCCAATATTGCCATAGGGAGCTGAACAGCTAGAGTGGAACTGCCTGTAGAACAGGGTGAGTAATGGGAAGCTAATTCTGTCTATTGACCAGCAGGTGCTTGGAGCCATGCAGATGAGAGTCTGGAGCAGGGGCTATGGAGCATGTGTGTTTTGCTAAACTCTGGTCAGGGAGCTACAGAGTATGGAGGGAAGGGCTTAGATCTTCCTAGAGGATGGTGGTGGGATATTTAAAGCAGCGTTGGCTACTGTGTTACTAGAAGACCTTTATTTCTATTTCATATCCCCCTGTTTTCTTCTGTTCCAGTCTGTTGCCATAACTGGGATCTGGACTTCATGATCCCCGAGTAGTCTCACTCTGAGAAAACTTAGCTGAGAAGCAGGGGCAACATTAAAATAGAAGTTGCAGCTCTTTGGGAGCTACCTCTGCAATATCCTCCACAGCTTGAACACCTCCAGCATTACAAACAAATCTCCAGTCTTTAG